CACTTTCTTTTTTATAGGTTTCAAAACGCACTAATATTTTGCAAATGCGGACCACGATTGGTGTTATACTGTCTCTAGACTAAAGATAGTTCATCGTGGTTCGCATTTGCAAAATATATTATTTATTAAATATTAAATATTAGTTATCTATAAAGTATATATTATGTATATTAAATATATATATTAAAAACCTGTAAAAAAAGTGTCGCAACCGATGTGTCCACGACTGTACATACGTGAATCATGATTACGATTTTTAAATTATTTGTATCCTAAAAATTGGAGGCACGTAATAAAATTTGAAACTCGAAACAGCGAGACGGTGTGCTAATTCTTCAATTTTCAAATTTGCCGAGAAACAATCGCGATAAATTAAGCGATAGTGATATAGATAGATATAGATAGCGATATATTTAGTGCGTCTATATTGGGACGTTTAGGAGTGGATTTTCGCGGGGGTGACGGCCATCGACCGGCCATCGATGACGACAGTACCGACGGTAAACTCCGGAGCCAATGCGTGCCGCCCGTCGCTCTTCGCGGCCGGTTGGAGTAGTACTGCATGCCATCATCGGCGAATTCGACGAGACGAGATAACTGAGATGGTCGCCCGCGGCCGGTAGTGTGTTGTGACCCGAGATTTCAACGAGGGAGAAATAATAAGTAAACTGCAGGCATCCCCCTGAATTTTGCAAGGTCCGCGCGTCGTAACGATCATGGCACACCAACTGCTCTTCTCGGCCAGCAGGCTGGAGAGGCTGGTCCTGCAGTCCGCTCAGAAAGGTTATTTCGACACGTTTCAGGTACCATAACCTCATCCGCCTCATATTTATGATATAACGCGCCGCGCGCAAGAAACGCAGCCACCGACGCGACGTGCAGCTCTCGCGCGAGAGTGACGCGACGCGGACGGTGAGTGTCATCGTGACAATCGCCCGCGGTTACGCGGCGCAAGTGTCCGCAGATCACATTTTGTTGTGCAACCTTCTGCAACCGGCGCATTCGCGTATCTCGTCGCAGTTATGGTGCGTTTTCTAAGTATACGTATCATATGGCATATTTTCTAAAAAAAGGACACGCTTCCGTGCGTACCTGTCTTTTTTGTATTCGTTTTCATTACGGCTTACTTACCGTCGTAATGTAACACATGATTTACATCAGCTTTGTGACGGTTACTTGCAATTTTTGAAGAAGAACCATGTATTGAAATATAGACAGGGTTGGGTAAGTTAATATATTTTTTTAACTAAGTTAAGTTAAAGTTAACAGTTTAAAAATTTAACTTAGTTAAGATACAAGTTAGTCCATAATAAAGTTAATTGAGTTAAAAGTTAAGTTAATAAAAAAAAGTAATTGAAAAATTAAAGTTACATTTTTTTATTTTATAATTTTACGGTTTCTAAAAAAATTTCTAAATAAAGTATATATTTGTTATACTTATTTCTGTCGAGCCGCGGAAAGAGGACCGATTTCAAAGAACTTCTTCCAACGTGATTTAATGCACAGAAGGTCCGCAAACAGCGATTCCTTCCCGCGGTCAGACTATATTTATTATATTATTACAATTGCCTTGATGTGTGTTCTCAAATTTAAGTTTAAAGACACTAACTTAGATATGTATTTTATTTTGGGTTTACAAGAAGCATTAAAAATGTAACTTCAAGAAAGTTAGATCAAAAGTTAATAGTTACCAATAAAATGTAACTAAATTAAGTTAAAAGTTAAGAGCCTAAAATGTAACTAAGTTAAGTTAAAATTATTTAACTTTTTAACTTAACTTTTATCTTTTTAACTAGCCACTACCCAACCCTGATTTAGATGTATTATTTTACCCCTGCAACTCGAATTTAAATTAGCCAGACCTCTACAGGTCGAAGTTCACCTTTATAAGTCGAACTTCTATTGTCGCTGTCTCTATAATTCGAAGCTATTTGTAACTGTGAATAATAGCCTGGTATTTTGTTTTATGATTACATTTATATGAATACAATAATTCACTGTCAAATATTGATTTTTTTTTTCTAAATGTCATTATAATCGGAAAATTATAAACTCTCGTACAAAGCCTCCGTAAGTCGAATTTTCATATGTTAACCCTCTTTTACTCGAATCTCGATAAGTCGAAAACTCTATAACTCGAAGGATTTTTCTCTTTTCTAGAGATTCGAATTATTGAGGTTCGACTGTATTTTAATATTTTTCACAAGATATAGTTCCTAGTAATTAAACGCAACTCATTCGGATAAGAGATGGTTTTAATTTCTATGATAGTTAATTTTCTCGTGACGCGTAAAGAATTACGAAGGAAAAATGACATTGTGTGCGAGTGTGCACATGGCATTGTTGTCACATCGTCTTTGCGCAAACAAAGGATGGGCGAGATACAGCTGACCTTAATTAATTGAAATGCATCGGGGAGCGATATCCGAAGGAGATTAAAGCGACTCTTATAATGGGTTTTTTTTCGCGTTTCTATTCACCATTGTCCGCCATTGTATTGCGACATAGTTTATAAAGTTTGCACATCTGCCTTGTAATACACGATTGGCTCATGAACATTTTCCAACGCAATTTCCAGAAAATTAATTTGAACGTTCTTTGACATTTTTCATTACATTTCATCGTTCGGCATTTAATTGTCGCGTTTATTTCGAATTGAATTGAATTGCGTTGTTGGTCGTAGCTTTTATTAATGTGTACAGGAGAGCATATTTAATAAATCTCAATAAGTCAGCATATTCTTGATTGACTAATAAAATTCTCATGTAGAATAAAATTTTATATATACACATATTCATTTTTTTACTGAAGTTGTATAAGAGAAGGAGGGGCAAATAGTGTCACTTTAAATTTCTCCTCTTTCCCGCGTCTATTTTACCACTACTCGTTAATAGGAAGACAGTTCTCTAGCATCTAATCATCTTCTGAAAAACCGTAAAAATCAAAAGCCAAATATAGCTAGTGGAGAAGTTTATAAATTTTGCATTCGTGAAACAAGATAAAACCAGGACCTTTTTTGATATTTAAAGTTATATTTTCTTAATTTCTGAATCGTTGAATGAAATCTAACCTATTCTATGTCATACGATACCTTTTTCCTCTATTTTGATATAATTCCTATGCTTGTATATTAATTTTATTTCTCTCAGTAAAGTTTTAAAGGAAAAAGTAGCTTCTGGGGCAAATAATGACAATTTTTAGTTGGACAAATAATGGCAAGTCAAAAAGCTTTCTTAATATTTGAATATGATTTTTCTAATTTATTTGGGATAATGTGAAATTAGTTACAAGGCAAGATCCAGAATAAATGTAATTTTCAATAAGAAATATTAGCAAATAATGTTACTACTATTATTTATCAATAAATAAAAATTTACATATGGCAGCTCCCGGGAAAAAAGTTCCATATATAATTATATATAATTATATGCAAAATATGTTTATATATGTTTCTTTCCTTTGTAAAATTATTCTTTGATACAAAATTGATAATAATAAGGAAACATAAAAATAATTAAAAGAATAATTTTTACATTGGTTTCTTTTACAAAAAATAAAGTTTGAAGAAATGAGAAAAATTGCTCAGATATAATCATACATAAGTGATTAAAAATACATGTATAATTATATATGAGCACTTCTTCTTATTTCTTTAAACTTGATTTTTTGTAAAAAGAAAAACAATGTAACAATTATTCTTTT